TTACCGGAAGTGAAGAATAAAAAAAGAAAGAAAAAAAGCACAAACAAATTAGGAATAATTAAAAATGACTACAGATGAAACGAATGAAAGAACGAACGATCTTTATTTTCAAAGTGTTGAGAACAAAGGGTTGGTTAACTGAATTATATGTGATGATATAATATATATAAACTTGTATTGCATTTTACAAAGGGTATTGAGTTCGCTAAATGATTTATTTCCCGGTGTCTAACACTTTTTTCTATTCTTTTGATGTATGTAACAACTTTTATTTTAATGGGATGGTAGGTAACAATGTAAACTTTGCGAGCCAATTTATTTTGGTAGACAAGAAGGCGGTACAACCGCTCTGAATAAAACACCAATAACGTGATCCACTCGGGAAATTAAGAAATCCCGACGTCCAATTTTGTTGATGATGCCAGGTACATATTTGTGGTTGTGACTTGCATCCAAATGGGCAGTCTACTTTGGTTTACGCATTATATCATTTGGCACTAATGTTGGTATCGGGGAGAATATCTGGATATATACAAACAGGCACGGTGGCTCGTGAAGGTCAGTGGCTAGCACGCGTGACTGCGTACTTTAGTTCTCTGGAGGACCCCTTTTACCTTAGTGAGGCTTCGGGCACATAATGCAAGGCTCGTATGTTTAAATAGAAAAACATAGGAGTCGTAGAGATATAGGTACGTGATGCATTGATGAGGAAAATGAAATTCGGATCAATATTAGTAGTTAATTTTACCCCACTAGGACATCACATAAGCGATAAACACCCGATGACACAAAGTGCCACCATGTGGATGAGGATCACAGGTGGAGAGGTCCCGGAAACCGTGTTCAGCCATTACACCATATTTATGGCCGGGCTATATTGCTGCTCCTGGCAAGAGCCGGGGTGAGGCTTAAAAATAGAGAAAAATTGCATCCCAGAAGGGGATGACTAGTTTTTTTTTTTTCTTTTTCTTGGATCAAGGCAGCGATGATAGAATATTGGAACACGTCCCATCCAGTGTTCCGGGACACATTCTCGGAGACCCAGTCAAGCTTCTCACATGAAACAAGTAACAGACTATTACAGATGTTTGTGTGTTTGTTTGTTTTAGTATCCAGAAGCTATGAGTTGTTAACCCTTAGGCTCGATATTATGGATATCGCAACCTTTCGGCCTTGATTCCATTGTAAATACCGTAAATCTGGGAGAAATGTGGCTTTTCTGCCAACCCCCGGGAGTGAACCCGGACCACAAGGAGTTCGTCACCCGGTCACCGCGCAATCCGGTTTAGCCAACTACGCTAGAGAGCCGGGCACTATTACATTTAAACTGCTTACTGGACACAACACACTCACCAGCCATGTGTACAATAAATTCAAGATTGTCGATTCAGAACTGTACCCATCTGGACTGAACCAGCATGGTATTGAATGTATGCTACAAAAATGATGTTTGCATGCAGTACAAAGATCTCTGGTTTGGCTATTGACATTCCAACATAAACTAAGCCGTATAGAACAGAAGAAGACATGCGTCGCAGACCAGATTTCAAAGAAGCCTGTAGCCTTCTCTTCAGAAAACCACTGACAGGAAGATGAAAAGAAAACATCTTTACACATCAATCAGCACTTGATGGCCGATGTGATCAATATCACGTCGACCGACTGCACTTCCCAAGACATTGCCTGCTACCTATTTTAGGCTGTATCTTTTTTGTCCCAAATTCTCCCAGGGGCGTTCGAACCCAAGACCTTCAGATGGGCAAGAGAGCGTCTATACACTATGATACCTCTCTTTGAGTACTCTAGGGTCAGTGTTCGAAACTCCTCCAAGGTCGACATTTTCAGCTGGCTTCATTCCTGGTCTTCGTCTCATGTCTTCACTGTAAATTGTATCTTTTCATGTGAGCTTCTCGAAGGCATCTCCTCCATATTGTTTCCGGTTTGCGCTCATTCGTTTTAGTGTCCATGATCGACAATGGTGACATTGAAAACAAAAGTTCCAAACAAAATGTTTTCCATAAATGAATAAAAACAATTTATTGCTGGGTTTATTGTGCTTTATCCTATCTGGTGTGTTGACACAGAGTTACATCAACATATAATAAAGCACAAAAGCTGAAACGGGAATGGTTTCTTTCGATACATCGTCTTCGTCTTTATCTGGGTCCATCTGGGTAGAGATTCGACATCACAGCTTTCAGGACAAACCCATATTAACGACGTCTACCTCGTCAATAGACAGCAAAGAGTTTCCATACTGATTTTGCTCTTGTCGTCTGGCTAACCACTCGTCTTGCCTTTCCTCTGAGTCTCTAGTGGCGCCCAGAGCCAAGAGCCACTCCCATCTGTATTATTCTCCACCTAATGACAAGTATTCTTCGTAGGCATCGCACATGAAAGCGATTTAGTTTACTGTCATGGGAGCTGCGCAGTCATGGGGTGATCTGTTGGCATGAAGTGAGAGCCACGTCACAAAACAACAAATGTATGATTTCTAGAGCGCCGCATCCACAAATTTCACAGCATGCATCTTCCCTGTAGCGACACACGGATGGCAGTCGTTTCAACCATTGTCTCGCAGGGAGGAAATGTGGGCTTTTGAGTTGAAATGCTGTAGAAAGATTCTCAGAAAACCATGGTACAGAAATAGAAATCACTCAAATCAATCCTAATTGCACCCAGAGGCACATAAGGCAGGGAAACTGTCACCACTCAGTTTGTTACTAAACCACCCTCTCTATCGCCAGTTTTGCTCGTCGCGTAGATTTGAATTCAGCCACAAAGGTTTGCCTCCACGTACCTCTGGGCCTGCCTCTTTTTGGCTGTCCTTGTGGTGTCATTTCATTGTCTCTCTTTCTTCATTCTGAGGACGTGCCCAATCAACCTCCATCTTCGCGTCTTTTTTTTTTAAATTATTTTATTTCTAAATTTACATTTTCTAAGTCTGTCATTTGTTGTAATCTAGAATTGCTGATTTTATCTAACCCCGACAATCTTCTGAAAAGTCTTCCTTTAAAACCTCTGAGCTTGCTCTCTATCGTTCTGTCTGTTTCTGAAGTTTCTGCTTCGTAGAGGAGAACTGTCCTGACGCATGTATTTTTTTTTTTTTTTTTTAAATATTCTGTGTTTAAGTTAAGTGCTGTTAGTGTTTGATATCCAGACGAAGAAAAGAAATACTGACCTCTTAAAATATCTGAAAGTCAAGTGTCTCGGAAGCTGAAATATTTTGGCAATATTATTTGCCACAGCGGATGAGAAATAAATATTATAGACGAAGGTATGGTAACAAGGAAGAAGGGCAGACCTTCGCGAAGATGGGCACAGAATATAAATGATTCCTTGGGTAAGGAAGTACACGATGGTGGAGATCTGGCGAGTGACCGGGTTTATTTCAGGCAGACCGTGATGAGAGCGACGTTCTGTAAAGGGCCTGCTACATGATGATGATGAGAGATCCACTTGCCCTTAACTGCAACAACCAGAAACATGGGGCGTCCTTGATTGCAGACAAGAGACATACCTGTATTTCGGGAAAACGTCCGTGTTCTTGCCTCTCTGTAAATTAACTCAGATGCGTGTCGCTGTCATCTCTAAGTACTTCTCTGTCAGTTACAACTCGAACCTTGACTTTTTGGTTTTCTGCGTTCCTTGTGTGTTTTTAATAATCGAATTACAGCAAGTTGTGTTTTTCTTGTTGTTGGTCTCCTTCTTCTTCTTCTTCTTCTTCTTCTTCTTCTTCTTCTTCTTCTTCTTCTTCTTCTTCTTCTTCTTCTTCTTCTTCTTCTTCTTCTTCTTCTTCTTCTTCTTCTTCTTCTTTGTCTTTTTTCTTGTTCTTGTTCTGTTTCTTCGTCTTCTTCTTCTTCTTCTTCTTCTTCTTCTTCTTCTTCTTCTTCTTCTTCTTCTTCTTCTTCTTCTTCTTCTTCTTCTTCTTCTTCTTCTTCTTCTTCTTCTTCTTCTTCTTCTTCTTCTTCTTCTTCTTCTTCTTCTTCTTCTTCTTCTTCTTCTTCTTCTTCTTCTTCTTCTTATGTTTCTTCTTCTTCTTCTGTTTCTTATTCTTCTACTTCTTCCTCCTGCTCCTACCCCTCCTCATCCTTTACTGGTGCTGTCATTATATCTACTATCATATTTACTACTGCATTAACCACCTCTAAGACTACATTTAGTACTACTGCTGCTGCTGTTGCTACTACTACTACTACTAATTATACTACTATTAGTACTAATACTTATATTGCTGTACTTCCACTACTCTAGTTCGACAGCTACTACTACCACTAGCAGCACTATTACTACTATGACTACCACTACCGCTATAACTACCTTTGCTACCACTAAGACTATTACTGCTGAAACTACTACTACTATATAGCCATTACTATTACTGCTACTCGTACAACCGCTGACAAAGCTCCAAAGCACCACCACTTCACAACTGTCACAACAACAACTACTACTACCACTGCTACCACTATTATTACTACTCCCAATAATAATTTGAATCCCCATTAAGAAGTTGATATTTACCAAGTCTCCTAGGTTGATCAACGCTACTATGGATTGTGTAAAAGGCGATATTGTTAGAATGCCAAGATCAGTTTCGAAAACAAAAAGACTGGCTTTCAAATTATTCATTACATTATTTCCAGGTAATGTAACGACGTCGTATACAGGCTACAAAGCTCTGGGCGGTGAAAGGCTGGGGTTTGTAACTACTGAATGCATCACCTGAAAGTTGCCAGAACTAAATAATGAATTGTGTGAGGAGATGCGAGACGTGTACAACTGAAAGAGATTAACTGACGTGCTGTAACCTAATTCATTCAGGACCACGAAACATACCTTTATTGGCAGCTACATTCAAGAAATACATTTCTTGAGTCTCTATGCATCGCACAGTTGAAGGGATCCCCGTAGTATAGGGGAACAATGTAAGACGGGTCTGAAAGTTACACTATTTATCCGTCTCTTTCTTTCTCTCACTATCCTCCCAGATGTTCTACTGTAGAAAGTTGCATGTGCAGTTTATGCATTCACACACACTCACCTGGAGATAAATGACGATTTTACACATGACATTGCCCAGAAACCAAGTCTCGAAGATCGTCTGGGCAAAGCTGGGAGGCAAACAAATGAGGATGGTGAGGAAATCGGCTACGGCCAAGTTGCTGAGGAAGAAGTTGGTGATGGTCCTCAGGTACTTGTTTCTCCAGACGGCGTACCCTACAAGGAAATTGCCTCCCACTCCTGTGACAAACACCAGGAGGTAAATGGCGGAGATAATCCATTCCAAGGTGGTCAGTTGAAGGTACACGTGAATGTTTTTGATCAAATCCTGTGAAAGAGGCACCAAATTATGGGATATATTGTCAACATTATGCTAATTTTTAGTCTGGGTGCAACCGGCTGCTTCTTCAAGGAGTAAAAGGAGCCTTTTCCAGGAGTGTCGGGCATATAGGGCTAGACCTTTATTTTATAGCCCAATCGGTACAAGGTGGATGATGTGATCAACAGTTTACCCATTTAGAGCTGGGTCGATCTGGGGGCCAATGTAATTTTATTTGTAAAAATAGGACCTTAACCCACAACCTCCAGTCTGTGAGCGTCTAGCCGCTACACAAGGGGGGGGGGGGAGGGCTGCAGTCTTCTAAGAGTATCCAAATTATAAACTGACAGACAATAACAAGCCTGGGTCTGGATCAATCAATCATGTGAGATCTCCACGATAAATATTGGCTGACGAGGATCTGCAACGTACTCGGGCTTTCGCCCTGGATACATACTTTCCGATTGCTGTTTGTCAATCTCATGATGGTATCCTCTCAGTTGTACAGCCTATTGTTCTCTTGCCTTTAACTTTTCCTTCTAGTATGTTTTAAAAGTTTTGTTGTTGGTGTTGTTCTTAATATTATTTATTTATTTCAGCAACTCTTGTTTTTCATAATCTCATCAGAAACACAGCATTTGATTTTGCTTCCTTGCAATACGACTTTTTCTTCTGTATTTCCAATACCTCTTTATTTGATTGGTTTATTTCTTTGAAATTCTACTTTTTCTTCTGTATATCTAATTCTCTAGGGACTTAAAGCCTTTTTGTAATTTCTGGTTTCTGGATACAACCTGAAGGATCTATAATCGAATATCAAGATGAAAAGTGAGATTAATTACTAAGAGGCTTCCCAGCAGGCCTTGCACAGAGTTATAGTAATGGTATGGTAGTTCTTGAGATCGTGTTTGGGGTTGTTGTTTTGTCTGTAATTGTAAAGAGCTAGAGGCATCATTTACTTTTAGGCTGATTTCTAATGTGGTTGGTGCTACAGAGCCTGTGCACTGTGCTGAGCTTCTTTGGACTCATTCTTGAATTAGAAAAATAACTGAGCACTTATGTGTTACTACCAGAGTGCCGTGATGTTGATCCTTGTTTAAACCTGAAACCTTTTAATGAGGATGCCACAAAAAAATTAATGTTTAAGGAACTCGTGAAACCGTTGAATTGACTCGGGAACTAATGTCACAAATATCGATCAACATTCAGTGAGGCTTGAGATAATTCCTCTTGTTTTAGTCGTTAAGACTTTGACTGAAACGTAAGGTTGTATCTGCTGAGGGCGTTTTATTTCTACCCTTCCGCTGTTTAGTTTGTTGCGTATCCTTTACAGGATGTTGCAGAACCAACCCCAACAGCCCCTGGCCGTTGTGTGTTTTTTCTAGGCAAATTTACGTCCAGTAGTTTGTCATTGCTTCCTGGACGGTCGGCTTTATTGATATCACTGTCGAAACCAACACAACTCGCATGGGATCGAACCCGGCATTAGGAAGCGTTCGCATCGACATAGCCTCAGAGCCGACCTCCGTTGTTTACCCCAGCGTAGTAAACTGTTTAATTTTAAAGCAAACAACCTTTCTCCACGTCTTCAGACAGTTGACGTTTAGTTTAATAAAAGTAAAGGTCCCTTTTCCACGCCTTTAGGCGTATTGGGTATATAGGGCTAGACCTATATTTTATAGACCAATCGGCACTTTGTGGGTGATGTGATCAACATTATGCCGCCCGCCTTTACTTAATTCGACTTTATCTGGTTCTCATTTAAGGCTCCATTGACATAGAAGCGAAGGTCATTTTTCAAAAATGTTCCGCTTCATTTGGATTTGGACATACGAACTTCAGGTTCCCAGGTAAGCCGCTACAACACAGTGGCTCCAATTTCTAGTCATGGTTTGTGTTTAATGCACTCTTCCCCAGTTGGTGGATCCCCGGCAATCTAAGAAAAAAAAATCTGACCTCTCCGTGATAGTTTTTTATTTCTTAAAGCCTTCAACTTTAGAGTGCAAAGCTTTCTGCGATTCTAATCTTCATAAATATGAGAAAAGTCGAAGGTGTTGAACTGGATTCCATCCATGATATTTATTGAACTAACTGCACATGATATAATAGAATGAAGGACTAGACTGCAAGTTCTATGTACTAGAAGCAAAGCCTAAAGGGTTTCTTGTATTAGAGAGGGGGAGGAGATAACTATAAAGGATAAGATGGAAGTCTACTCCTCGAGCCTATCTCTACTCCAAACCTACAAGAGCTCCAGCGATGTCGTGGCTAGTGGAAGTAAACACACACTTAAGCTACCTTAGTAACAAGAAAATAAAGAGAAAAAGTTCGTTAGGCGGGGATAAGAATACAAATATCTTATCCTGACAGGAGATATTCTGTGTAGGGTCTAATCAGCAGTAACAGGAAAACCTAGGCACATTAATCACAATCTGAATCAAAACAACTGGAACTATAATTATCATGTTTAACATCTGTTTATTTCACTGAACATAAGACTAAGTTCTCCGTAAATAATATTGCAATGAAAATCCACAACATACCCTGACAACAGATCGAAACCTATCTCTGCCTAAACACATCAACCCGCGTTGAGCTAAACCCCTGAACGCAATGGTAAAATCAGAACCACGTGTTACTCGTCAAAACAGCAGAAGCCTAAGAGAGCGAATAGACCACTCCCATCTCCTTTATCACTTTCCGACCCCAAGTTTGTCAGGTTTTTGGTTCGCTTAAAGCCTAATAAAAATTATATAAAAGCTTCCCTATGACGGTTACATGCGAGCCCTATATGATAAATAAAGGCAAAACAGGACAATGATGGTGATGAATGTTTGTAAATTATAATATTTGAAAAACAAAGATAAAAAAAATAGATTGCACAAATTATTGCCTGGTATATTTGGCTGTATCTCACTAGATGTATACTACAGTAAAAAAAATTACATAAATGAATCAAATAAGGGAATCCTTCGTAACTGAAGTACAAATGCAACTACAATCAACTCAACTACCTGTTTTACCAGGGCTGCCGAGTGTCTGAATCATGTCTTGCATGCACCTGACGAGGATAAAGCGAAATATGCCAGGCAACATATTGTGCAGTCTATTGTTTATGTTTTCTTTACTCAAATTTACGAGAGGGAAATATTGCTTTAATTTATAATATGTTCTTCAGTATGACTATTTTTCGTTTTCAGCCACCAACGTTTGCTATACGTCATTAATAGGACGGTGCGATAAAGATCTCCACCTGTGTGCCACGGTTAACCTTGTAGGGACATTCATGTTGGCCAGATTTCTTCTCTTTGATGGGTAATTCTGAGTATTCCTGTCGGACATGCTCTGAATCTGCTTTGGTGAGCAACAACCACATACAGCAGAGTTGGCAACTCGAATTAGATAAATATGTGCTCTGAGTGTACTGTGCCAATGACTATTTAAAAGCATGTAATCCGTGGCAGTCAAATGCCCATTGGCTGGCCGGTAGACGACTTCACCGCCGGTCGGGACTGTATTTAGGTCGGTCTTCATTGATCGCATCAACAGTGCAGGAATCCTTTTTATGGCTCTTCGTGGCGTGCAACGCTAAGTCATTTTATATGGTGCACATAACCTAGTCACGATTACAATCTAAAGCTAGCCCTTTAGGTATGCTGATTGAACGTGACGATTCTCCCCCCCCCCCCCACCCAACCCCCAGCAAAGCAAGGAAACAGCAGTCAAATCGGCCCCAATGTGGGACGCAGTGTTTCGTTATTTTAAAGCTCCACTGTGGCTGTCGTCGGAGCGTCTAAACATAGCCCAACGGTTGGATGGGGTTTCTGGGTCTGGCGCCGGGTGATTCTCATCTAAATGGTGCCTCTTGGTATCACCGGGTGTTTATCGCTTGTTGTGGAGTTGACCGTCAGTCGGTCAGTCATTCGTGGCAGACACTAGAGAGTATCCTGGGGTCTACAGATCTAACCTAGCTGAGAACAGCTGGCCTAATGAATTCATCGCTTGCAAAAATAGGTACAATACACGAAACAAATGGACACTGACCTGATCGGAACTGTAACATTGACGAGACTCGTAGTGATGGTACTTGCAGGTCAGCGAGGAAACGCTCGAATTGTTCTGAGTTCCGTTCGATTCAAACGTCCATTCTGTGTGCATTTTCTGAAATGATAATATACTTATTAATTTGAAATCCTTAAATTATTCGGTTTATTCAAAGCATTTTTTTTTCAACCGCGTAGAATCATTTTTGGCCTGCCCTGGTTAACAAATTCCTGCAGAAGTCGGATGTGTCGGCAGAAAGTTGTAACTATTGCAGCCATGCCTTACAAAAGGCACAACACATTTACATCTTTGGATGTGGATGAACGCAGAAGAAGAAGAAGAAGAAGAAGAAGAAGAAGAAGAAGAAGAAGAAGAAGAAGAAGAAGAAGAAGAAGAAGAAGAAGAAGAAGAAGAAGAAGAAGAAGAAGAAGAAGAAGAAGAAGAAGAAGAAGAAGAAGAAGAAGAAGAAGAAGAAGAAGAAGAAGAAGAAGAAGAAGAAGAAGAAGAAGAAGAAGAAGAAGAAGAAGAAGAAGAAGAAGAAGAAGAAGAAGAAGAAAGAAGAAGAAGAAGAAGAAGAAGAAGAAGAAGAAGAAGAAGAAGAAGAAGAAGAAGAAGAAGAAGAAGAAGAAGAAGAAGAAGAAGAAGAAGAAGAAGAAGAAGAAGAAGAAGAAGAAGAAGAAGAAGGAGAAGAAGAAGAAGAAGAAGAAGATGAAGATGAAGATGATGATGAAGAAGAAGAAGAAAAAGAAGTAGAAGAAGAAGAAGAATTTTTGACCTATGGTTTCAGAGCAACATGGCTTCTGCTCTCGAGACAAACTGTGCGGGTTAGGGTTTCAATATTTTGTTCTCGACCACATACATTTTTTTCATCTTTTACAGGATTTGAACCCACGTCTACCGCATGGGAGACTAGTGTTCTAGACGTGCCATTGGTATCTACTGAAAAAATTATTACGTGCTGTCTCCGCAATGAAGGTTGGCTAGAGTACACTTCTCCCCATTATTACGTTTGTGTAGTTCACTTATGTTTGAAAAAGGCCGCCCGGTCAAAACGTTACGTTGTGTTGTTTTGTGCCCGTTTTTCTGCTTCCCCGTTTTGTTGAGCTTTTTAGTCTAATTTCTCTGGAATTCCTTGGCTAGAGTACAATGTTTCCTATCTTTTGGCATGTTACGTGACGATGTTCCTACTTACGCATGACCATTCCAGAAAGTGTGAAAACACCGTCACTGGTCCAGCAAACCGACAGTGGTTTATCAAGAGCTCGTAGAAAAATAAAGAGACCCATACTGAACTTTATCGGTAGACAACAGATTAAATGGTTTGGCCTTGTAACAAGCTTGGCAACAGACAGGGCCCCACACAGAGTGTGGCGGGTAACTTCGCTTTACACTAGCGAATGCACTATGTGCACTTTACAGAGGGAACTACAAACAGTGAAACATCATAAGGTCTTATAGTAACCCCAGCCTTGCTGGTTAAATGAGAGGATTCGGGGTTTGCCCACATCTTATTCCCTACTGTAATTAATTGTATATTTAAATGTATTAAAGTTATACTAGCTTTTGTTCACTGACACACTTACAGTTAAAATGAAACTTCAGAAAACTGTAAGAACATTAAAACTACATTTATTAGGATTTTCAATTCAATATAAATTCAACTGATAACTAAATGGCTGTGGATAAAATTATGGATTGGGAAAGCAACAGATGTTCCCACTTAGCTGTAGCTTAGGTCAGCTTCTGGCTAAGCCTCGGTGACACATCAGGCAGGCCGAATCTTCCAGTCCAGTCCGGACAATCGGGTATCTGCAGCTAAGCTTAGGATCTACTTCTGGACTCCCACCTGTATTTACCATCTGGAACTAGAACAATAGAACAGTCCTTATACAAACAGTCAGGAAGGTTCTAACTGGAGACAACAATACCTCCAGTCTTTAAACTGTTACACTACACACATATATATGGAGTAGGATAGTAACAGGTGTTCACATTCTTCTGGCATAGAATGGGAATGTGTACAGAGCATGGTCCATAATCCTGATGGGTAAATATTTAGGAAACCAGTTTCATGAATACTCTCAAGAACAAGAGTTTACAGCACACAAAAAGAAAGGACATTCCTCAGTGTAAATTGTTCTGATGTCTGCACACTAGTACTCCTTTGAAGGGTTAACATGCTTACGCACACAGACATACACAGTCATATTTCACAATATTCTCATTTTAACCACATGGGTTCACATCACAATGAATGAGAAGCAGGGAGTGAGTTTACCAAGGCCAGAAACTCATAACAGGTGCTTTGCACTGTTTGAAATAAAATGGGATTGACATATCTCCATCAATATACTGGGTGCTGGGATAGATGTCAAAATACAATCATAGATGACAATGGGCTTTCCATCTGTCACAGTATTAACATAAAATATACAACACTCACTCCAGTTTAAATCTAAATCCACACATGTGCTAAGTAACAATTCAGCAGAGTTTAGAAGTGGTGAGGGGTGAAATATAATTATTACATTTGTAAGGCCAGCTGCTGTAAAACTGAAATGAATTCCTAGTAATAGGGAAATATATCTACAACAATAATAATTACAAGCAGGGGCCATACATCTCTTTTCTGCTTCTTCTTCTCTGACAGTGTGAATATTAAATTCAGCCTCACTGTGTTATTCACTTTCCAAGCTCTTAAACTAGTCTCAGAATTATCTGGACTAAATCTAAATTAAAGCAAGACAGTGATTTATTAAGCTAATATCACCATGAGGTAAAATCAACTTAGAAGGGATTAGTTATAATGAATATACACTTCATTCCTATTTTTAATTGTCTAGGCTGGAAACAGGAACTGGCTGAGATTTCACATGAGGACATAATTATCACTTAATTAATATAAGTATAATTACTAAAAATACCAATGCACGTTTCTAGTAGCAAATAAACATTAATTCAATCATCAAATAGATAATATGTTTGCATACATATACATACTAGATCATAAACGTGGTTAGTAAGGATAAAGAAATTTATCATAGTTTTTGAGCCATGTGGGCATTAAATTTCAGAATTTAACCTGTGGAATTAATTCAGAGGAATAAGCAGCAATACATCAAATTAAACTTATTCTTTTAACTCACCCCTGGCAGGGAATTCAAACTCAGGCAACAAGACAACAGAACTAATTGAACTGTGTCAATTGGGGAGAACAAAATCTTGACTTCCCCAATCGAGCCTGGAATGAGAAATGGAAGATGGGAAGTCCTACCAAGGGGGAAGTTACTCTTTGTTACCCCTTGACTACTCATCATCTCATTCGCCCTTTTAACTTTTAACTATTTAATTATAATTTTGCTACAATAAAGCATTAAGAAAAAGGTAAGGAAATTTCTTAATTAATCCAGTGTTATTATGCTAATTATAAGCAATAGGAAAATGTTTAGAACTTTGGTAATAATATTATCTAAACAAAGCAATATTTAAAAGGACAGAAACAGCTGTCCAGACCAGCTCGTCACACAGAGTAATATTATACAAATGCGGCAGTAACAGATCCAGAGGTTGACCAGGCAGATAATGGACCGCAGAACTATCATAGACACTAAAAAGTTCTATATACGAAGCGAACAGAAGTGCCCGTTTCAGAGATCTCTTCCTGTCGCGACTCTGCGAGGCATTCCAGGAGTGGAGAAAAGAAGAAAAGGAAGAAAGTACCCACTCTCCTCCTCTTTGCTACTCTCGCACTACTGTCTGAAAATCAGGGCACGTATTTTTTTTTTTCCAACTACACAGCGGAAGTTGACCCTAAGAACTGAAGGATCATGAAATTGTTAATCGCGTTCACTGTCCTCTAAATCCACAGAGCGCCGAATAATACAACACATAAATCAGGAGCGCTCGTTTTGGTCATATTGTGAGTGAGTTAAATTGCCAGCATGACAAACAGCCTTCCCGCAGCACCACAATAAGGCTGGTGACGTGAATAATGAGGTAATGGAGAAGCCAGTCCTATGGGAGAAGAGGCAAATCGCTGGAGAATCAAATTATCTCTACCGAGAAATCAGATAACAACAGTTGATGAATCGATGCTGGTAATGATTTCAGTCTCAAACCATGAACGGAAGCAGTTTTTATTAGGGATTCATACGTTGGACTAAAGGGATGAGTTTAGCTGGGTAGTCTAAAGTGCTGTGCTGGCTAGAGCTGTTGTCGCCAGCCTTTAGCTTCGGGGCACAGCAGGTCAAAGCCAGGAACCCTTTTCACACTACTGCCGCATAGGGCATAGAGTGCTAGAGCCATAATTCATAGACAAATCGGCGTTGGATAAATAATGTGAATAACATCCCAAGGGCCGCCCAAACTGTCCAAAAATATCTCGGTGCTCACTTAAGGTGGGTTCACAACGTTGGAGCCCTGGGTAAAACCTCCGAATGTTTTTGTCTGGAATAAAATATATCCTTCCTCATACTTACTTTACTTTTTCCTTCCACGTATGCCGCTAAGCGTTGTGGGGAGATGCAAGTTCCTGTCATAAGCAAGGCGGGCAGCATCTGATGTTCTGAGGCCATGCTTTTGGCAGGTTTCGGAGACCCCGTCAATCCACCGTTTCCTTGGTCTTCCTCTTGCCTTATATCCTGAGCTTCTTTGGTTGAAAATTTGTGATGTTATTTGGTCATTTTTCATCCTAGTTAGATGTCCAAACCATTTCATTCTTTGATGTTCTATGTAGTCTAAACATGGGTGTAGTTTTGACAGTGTTTCTAATGTCTATGTTTCTTTATCCTGTTACTAGTCTGGTCTTATTCGCTGCTTTTCTTAGACATTTCATTTCACAGGCTTCTATTTTTCTTTCATGGGTCTTGTTGATTGTCCATGTCTGGCACTGGTAGCAGAGTGTTGGAATGAAGATGGTGTTTATCAATTGTCTTTTGGTCTTCATGGTTATATCTGGATGTTTAAGCAGAGGTGATAGTTGGTATGTGACAGCATTTGCTTTCTGTATTCTTGTTTCTATTCTCTCTGTCCATTCTTCCATCCTCTGTAAAATATACTGCCCAAGTATTTGAACTCTTTTGGTTTGCTTGATTTTGGCACTTCCAACATTTATA